AAAAATTAAAAAAATAAGAATATCTAAGAGCATGAAATTTTTCCACTTAATATAAGTAATAACTATAATAATAATATGATATAATAGATATAATAAAAAAATAGATATAATAATTATTATTGAATAATTTATGTAATATAAGTTATTTTTTGAAAATATAAGATTTTATATTTACATATTTAATATTATATTTACTTCATATTATTATTAATATAATTATATATTTATTTAAAATATAGAACAGTGCAATATTTGAATTTAATATTATAAATTATATAATTTAATATTTGTTTATATTAAATATTTTATCAATTTTAATATGTATAAAAATAATTTTGTGTAATATAAAAATTATTTGAAAATTATATGAAAATTGATACATAATATTTATATTATTCTAATAAATATAAATAATTGATGCTTTTTATGATTTATAGCTAGTTTTATATTGGAATTTATATCTTTATTAAAAATGTTTTTATAAAAGAATTTATATAATGTTCTGGAAAAAATTTTAATTACTAATTCTAAATTAATGAATATTGTTTGATATATTTTATTGATATTTATTGATATATATTATTCTTAAATAAATTTATTATTTGAAATAATAGATTTTTTATGCTAAATTAAATATTATAGGTTTTTCAATTATTATTAATTTATTAATTGTTTAATAATTAATATTAATAGTTTTTCATGATATCAAAATTATGATCAAAGAGATGGATCACATGTAAAAATAAGCTAAAAAGAATTGAATTTAAATATTATATTTTTAAATTAATATTATATTTTAAAAATTACCATATATTTCTTTAATTAAAACAATCTGTAGAACTTAATTAATATAAAAACCAAATTTAAAAATCATATGATTAGCAAAATAATATAAGAAATGCATTGAATCCTTTTACCAACATTTATATGATCGGTCGGGCGGTCGATCGTTGTGCAATGGCCAAGAGACCGATGATTTGCTTTCACTGACTCACCTTTAACGTGATATTACGATTATTATTAACATTAATTCAACTGGCATTTTAGTTTATTCTTCCTAAAATTTCGCATTTATTAAAAGTATAATTTATCATCAGTTAGTGATTTCTTCTAATAAATACTACTATGTAAAGTAATAGCAATAATATTAAAATATAAACTACAGCACAGACATTATTTTTTTTACATTTTATTTTTACTTCAATTCATTTATACAAGATAATTATAAATTATTTGAAAATTTGAAAAATAAATTTCAAGAGATATTTTTGCATCTTTTCATTTGTTTTAGTTTTTAAATTTATTCTTTACATTTTTCGTGTATTTTATTTGAACATACATACATAATTCATGATACAAATATTATTATATCTTTTGCATTAAAATCTTAAAACTAAGCAATGTATGCAATATTTTTAAATTAAAATTATTTTTAATTTTAAATTACACTTTCTTTATTTATTTTTTTATTTAATATTTATTAAATAAATCTAATTAATATTTACTGAAAAGTAGAATTAATAAATTGATAATGTATTTATCATAATGTATATATCATTTTTTAATTTTTTTTTCGATTTTAAATAATTTTATTTATAAAAAAGATAAGATTTTATTAAAATTTATTATGTATAATATAAATTTATTATTTATTATAATATGTGAAAATTTTGAAAAATTGGCAAAATTATCCCGTTTTAAATGATGAAATATAATTTTATATAAAAATTTTTATTTTTTGATTGAAATATACAAAATTAAATTGAAATAATAGCTTGATATTATATATATTATATATATTATATTCAAGATAATCGTATCAATTATTAATATTTAAAATAAATTTTGTTAATTATTAAAAATTTTAAATTAATTTATTAAAAATTATTAAAAATTATTAAAAGTTATTAATACTTCTTTAAGAATCGAATTTTGATAAAAATATTTATTATTCGACAAGAATATTATTATTATTTTGAAAAAAATAAATAATATTTTTTTTCTGTAATATATAACTTTATAATAATCTAAAAGATATTTTTCAAATATTAGCAATATTGCTGATTTCTTTTAATATTTTCACTGTAATAAATAATTTAAATATATGTTTTAAAT